CTCTCTCTCTCTCACTTTATAATATATATGTATATAAAATTAATTACTGCCTTATCCCGGTGTATCCAAATACATCTTCAGAAAACATAGAATCAGCATCGATTATAACTGAATGCTCATTACTAAAGCCACCATCTAATAAAGAAATAAGATCTTCTGGAACGTAACTGTCTGCTGCATCCTCTGCATCGTCACCCTCTTCGTCTTCTCGTGACAAAAGATTGTTTACTGCTAAATTTACATCTAGATTTGTACGCTGCAATGTTAATAGAATTATTTCATTAAGTTATGTATTTTTTTGTTGATATTTTATATTCTTTTTATTTACTACATTAATATTAAACCTGTAGTTCTCTGATAATAAGATTGCGACTTTTTCCTTGTAATACAACTTGTGCCTGAGATATTAGATCTTCTGGTACAAATGGTGCTGGTACAGAGGCGATAGGACGAGAATTGCTACCACTTCCTCCACCCATAATAACTCCAGGAGGTCCTATACGACCACCACTTCCGCTTCCTCCACTGTTGTTACCTCCACGTATCGCAGAACTATTACGCATTATCCGGGCACGTGAACGTGACATCCCCGTTCTATTATTACTACTGCTATTTCCATTTCCATTTGGTGCAGAATTAGAGTTTCCAATATGATTTTTACTTGTACTATAATAAAACAGACATTTTCTGATTATTGTATAAACTGTCCTCTCATAAGATGACCCTAATACAGTCAATAATACTGTCAGTATTAACCAATACTAACAATGTTATTAATTGCATATGGTTAACATTGATAAATTGATATAGAATACTGATGATCTAGATTTTGATTCTAAAGCATCAGTATCACTTTATTAAGATCCATATCACAATATGTTACAAATAATAGATGATGTATGTAGAACTAACATAAAATATATTGTGAATAATACAAATCATGTAAGGTTTATAAAAATATTAAAAATAATAATATAAGATTGATAAAGGACTCTTATTATAAACATAAACGAAAAAAGTTAAAAGGACGTTGTAAGAGTCAAAAGAAATAATTTAAAACAATTAAAAAAGAAAAACGCATATATGTAATACATTAAAAATTAACAATATAAAAATATTTGTTTAAAATTCGAAAATGTACATTAAAAAATAACAATATTCAAAAACCTGCTAAAACCTGCTAACGTTTCGACTCGTGGATTGAGTCTTTTTCAAAGCGCAAACATATTCTTAAAGTTTAAATTCTTCGGATTAAAAATATTAAAGATATTAAAAATATTGATGAATACTATTAAATATGCACAAGATTTTTAATTCATTGATTGATCAATCTCATTATGTGCAAACACATCTTTTATGGAACAAAATTACACTCACATACAATACGGTTAATCAATTAATGAATTAAAAAAATTCTTCTGATTAGTGTTTTAATATTATTTATTAATATTATTAACTATGTTATAGGGTCACCTGTAAATATATAAGACCTATAAAATATATAATATCTATAAAATATACATTTGTTCTATTTTCACTCACTTTCTATTAGGTTCATTTTTACTCAAATCCAATCTATCTGGTAGCACTGTAAAAGCAACTCTAGCTATTCTATTGTCATCTGTGAGGAAAGCAATATGGGTTGGTCCAACTACAAGACGCTTTATCGATGCTTTTAAAGAATTAAAAGCTGATGGTGTAACAAATCCATATCTATTTATTTTATCCGCTATTTCCCTCAATCTAAAAAATATAAAAGCGTAAAATCCAATATTAATATATGTAAATAGATAATATTATTTTTTTAATTAAAAAATAATAAAAAATGTTTTTTTTCCATTGCTACTGCAAGATAACTTTTTCATTGTACTGATAACATACTTAAACATATTATAGGTTTAATAGCAAGTTTCAATGATGCATCATTTATTCATTCAATTGCATATGATTGTACAGCAATTAGAGAATTTCGGAATTATATGCCTTAACAAATATATGTCGTATTTTCCGTAATTACAAATCTTGAAGCGTACATATAAAAACAGAATCAATTACTAATCATCACATTTTTACAGATTGCCATTAAAATATGGCGAGGATAATGTCAATGGAGACGTACATTTGTTAAGCTGATGCACGCGGAATAAGAAGAGAAATATGAGGATAATCGCATACACATAACATGTCGTGACATGTTGCAACAGTAATGGACCACTTTAAAATAAGAAAAACTATAGTATTTTCTCTCGGGAATGATATATAAATTAGAGTGAGTAATGAGAAACCGATAGCAGATGAAATTTCTCACCTATCATTGAGTTGGTCATCGGTTCCTGGCAAAGGATGCACAACGAGATGAATCGAAGTCATAATGACTTCAACTCACATGTGTTCGACGTCAGATCGTTCTTTTACTGTACACAAAATTTTACTGAACGACGAAACAATATTTCAGCCATGTTTTTAGTGAAACATCCAGTTACATACCTCAGATGCAAACATGGCGTGGTGTTCTTCGCGTTCATAAATACATTGTGGAATGTTGTGGAAGAAACCCAGGTGTGCTCGTTTACGAGATGAATTTCGTACGATTCTGCGCAGCTTCTCAAACGGTCATGTAAACGTTTACCGCAGTAATTTTGAAAAGTGACATATTTAGAATTAGGTAATTGTTAAGAGTTTAGGGACCTTATCTCCAATATTAATCAAATTAGGGTATTTGATGTGTTTTTGCGTAAAATGAAAGAATCTGGCAAAAAAATCTGGTCGCTCTATCCTATCGAGATATTGGCCGGTATTCATATGCTGGATTCACACTGCATCCGATTTTCGTCGTACGACGACTCTGTAACCAATCAGGAAATAAAATTTTGCTTCGTACCGATGATACGATTTTTCTGATAGGTTGCAGAGTCGTCGTACGACGAAAATTGGATGCAGTGTGAATCCAGCAATAGTCGATTCTATTTCAAGACTGTCTTAAGTATGTCTTATGCCTAGTTCACACTAGGCGCGATGAGCGATGCGCGACAAGCGATAACCAATAAGAACTCTGCTTTACATCGTCGTGTGAGCTAAAGCAAAGCTTTTATTGGATATCGCTCGTCGTTCATCGCCCATCGCATCCAGTATGAACTAGGCATTAAGCGAGGAGCTTTTACGTAAAAGCATGGCTCTCATTGGCTATCGCTCGCCGCTTCAGGCTGGAGTCACATTGAGCGGTAATTACAGCGGAACGGAATAGTGAAACCAATCAGAACTCTACAATCATTCCGCTGCTTTACTTTCTGCGATTGTGATTGGTCTCGCTGTTCCGTTCCGCTGTAATTACCGCTCAATGTGACGCTGTGCCGCTCTGGTCTGTAGGCTCCTTTAGATGTTAATGTGACCCTCTGATTGGTTCATAATACCTCAAGACTGAACTTAAGACTGTCTTGAATATAAGAACTGACTGAATACAGGCCTATAAATATCAGCCATTAATTCATAAAGTTGACAGATTGATATTAGGAAATCCGTGTCAATGGCATAAAAGGGTTACACTGATTACACAAATTCTCTGCTTTATAAAAACTAATTCTCTGCTTTAAAAACAAATTCTCTGTATTAAAATAAAATTCTCTGCTTACTGTTCTCATTTTAGATCATCGAATAGCAGCAAGCGCTCAAGCGACAGTTGAGTCTGCTGAACGCGACCAATAGGCGCATTCAGCGAACTCAACAGTTGAGTAAGCGCTCGCTATTATTGGTGTATTCTTCCAGATCTAAAATTCTGATTGGTTGATCTAAAAGAATACACCAATAACAGTGAGCGCTCACTCAACTGTTGAGTCCGCTGAACGCGCCCAATGGGCGAGTTCAAGACGACAAAGCGGCTAGGTACGCTTGCAGAGCGATCGAGTATGATTGGTTGGATCTATAAGTAATAACCAATCATATTCAATCGCTCGGCATGCATACCTAGCCGCTTTGCCGTCTTGAACTCGCCCAATATCTATTGTGTTCGAATGGCTCCTGCACACTGGACGCGGAAACGCTTGCCGCGCGGCAAAATGCGAGGCGATAACCAATGAACATGTTAGGAGCTGTAAACTTATTGGCTACCACGTCACATTTTACCACGCGGTCAACGCGGTAGCTTTTTCGCGTCCAGTATGCAGAAGCCATAAGGCTGATATTTCATGTGTCGTACGACAAGGCTTTTCAAGCCTGTTATTGGCTGTAAAACAGAGAGATTCTCGGATCTCTCTGTCCTATAGCCAATCAACGTGCTTGAAAAGCCTTGTCGTACGACACATGAAATATCGGGCTAATAATATAGGACTTAAATTGCGTTCCAAAACTTAACTACAGTAAAGCCCGATCTACAATTGCGTAAACGTAGTTGTAGTTGTAAGAATTGACTAATTACAGTTGAATACGAGAAGAATATTCGACTGTCATTGGTCAATTCTTATAACTACACCGTTTAATATTTGGTGAACAACAAAGATAAAATAATATTCAGAGGCACTCAGGTAGTTTTTTCGAACGCAGCCCGGGATGACCGCTCTCAGGTTTCCCTCTATTAAATATGTCTATGGTTATTATGGTAGCGGCTGTGCACGTTTTGGTTCGTCATATTATTTTAGTGTGTAAATAATTCGCGCTGTCAGTTTCTTATAGTAGAAAAATATGAAGCTTCTTACGCACAATATGTTAACATCTAGAGCTATGAAAGGAGTGACAGTCGGCTATCCTCTGAAAATAGTCGTAAGTTATTTTTTCTTTTATATCGTATTAAAAAATACATAAATTATCATTTATATCTAGAATATAAAAACTTTAAATAATTAAAATGTCCAATCATGAAAATTATATGGTATACTAAACAGTATTTTGATGTGGTTAAATTAATGTTATTAACGTTACGTTTATCTTATTATTGAATTGCTTGTGCATACAGAAAACTCGAATAAAATAATAACCAATAAGGCAATATTGTACAAAGATACAAAATCATTGCAACTTAATTGAACGTTTCACTTTTACTTAAATAAACTTTTAAATATTATATTCTTTGAGTTGATTTAAAAACCAATAAAAATAGATTTGAAATATTCCAAAGTTATGTCAATTTTTTTATTTTGTATAAATATGTTTTTGTATATGTACAGCAATGTACTTTGAAGTACCAAACAGACACTGTAACTTAATAAATAATATTTTTGTTTTAAAATTTAGTTGTTTAAGGTTTAAACCATCTTATTAAGAGTATTAGATTCAATACTTTACAAAATTTTTTTAATAATGATATAAGTATTTTTATACATTGTTAATTTATGGATATAAAAATCCTTGTTAATCATCACACATATTTTCTTTGCTATAGAAATAAAATTATATTAAAATTGTTTTTACAAAAAAGTAATATTGATTAGACAATAAGTTTTTGTAACTCCTTTTATTTATTTTGTTCTCTTGTCATTCATCATTGACTTAGCTTAACTTTTACTTAACTTTTTATATTATTTTTTATATTTTTTGTTTCTTGGTTATAGTATTTTTTTACTTTTATCTGTACTAATCTTTGTACTCATTATTATTTGTTTATTAATTTTTGAATGAAGATTATGTGTGTGAAAAGAAATTAGATACACTAAAAAGAAGTCATTAACTTGACTAAATGCATTTAATTAATGGTGATTATATATAGTTCAAGTATTTATATATTTAGGTTAACAAAATCTTTTAATTTAAAACGTGTAATTTGTTTGAATTAACTAATATTTACTTGACAGCCTTATGGTCGCTGCATTTAGTTGAATCTATTAATGCTTGTTGAAACAGCAATTTTTTCTTAGTATATATATTATTGAAATATAATCATATAATTTCATGTCTTGACTCTTTTATTCTCGTATTATTGGTTTGCAAAAAGGGGAATTTTTAATTTATATTCATTTAATTCAAGCTATTTTTAAATTATTTCTTATATCTTTTTTCATTTTTTGGACAAAAAATAAAGAATGTATATAATTGAAATATATCAATAACTACATAGTTATATTTTTCCAGAACTGTATAAATATTTTATACTATTTTGCAATCAATTTTTGTTTTTATAAAAAAAAGCTTATACTTAAATTATTACTTTCAAGATTATGCTTATCTTAAAAGCCGAGAAATATACAATTTATTGTAAAGTGTCCTTATTTCACTGTTACATATTTATTTAAAAAATTTGCAAAATTTTACAGGCTCGAGACATTAGAGTATCTGAAGTAGATTTTAATCCAGAATATATAGCTAGAATAATTCCAAAATTGGATTGGACAGTACTATGGAAAGCTGCTGAGAGCGTAAGATCATTTTCTTGTATACATATGTATGGATGATCAGGGTTGGGATGTAACTCTTTACTTCTAATAAAATTAAAGTTACTTTTTTTAAATTAGTTACATTTTTTTAGTAACTAGTAACTAATTCAATAGTGACTTTGTAAATTAAAAGGTTTATTTGCATTGCATGCCTCCAACATGCTTCTATAAATAATAAAACAAATATAAATATATAATGAACATTTTGAAGATATTTTGTTTTGTCATTGTATTAATTCAAAATTATTCTAATTATTTCGATTTAATTATTTTATAATCGAATATAAAGTGAAGATTTCTTTAATAAAATTATATAACATTATTGTACAATATATGTATGTGTTATAATTTCATGTTTACGTGTATTATATAATTTCAAGAGAAATGTCTGCCATAGAATTTATATTTGTTATTCTTTTAAAGTAAAATTGTACATGTAAACATAAACCAGTTTTCTTTGGTGATCCTAATGGTATTAATGTTAAGGAAGGTCCAATTAGCCCTCCTACATTCCCGATTGCACACACCACTCATATCGGCCTAGAATTTTTCACTGTTTTATCAACGAGAATGTTTTATGTCAAATTGATCAATTAACGATGTGAGTAGGATGTGTGCAAACCTTCTTTGATGTTATCATACTGTTCTGTTACAGAAAAGTGAAAGTTATTTTGTGAGTAAATGTAATGAGTTACATTTCGGAATCAGTAACTTGTAACTAATTATTTTAAAGTAATTTTCTCAATCTTATGTACATATACGCACGCATGTACAATGTTTCATAACATGTAAATATAACTTCAGAAATTAATTTAAAATTCAAAAATGACATAAAAATAACAAACAGTTCATATAAACATTTATTCTATTTAATCTCATTTCTGAGTAAAGCTTGCAGCACACGATAGCTTTTTTCTATAAGATTCTTAGCTAAATTTTTTTGTTACCATGTTACCATGATAACAGCGGTGCTGACAGTGCTGGTTGAACAACTGGAAATTATTCGACAGAAGGCTCTTGACAGAAATATCCGAATAAGTAAATGTGAAGTAGATTATTGCTACTGTAGCACATCATTGTGAAAATACAATTACATTGTTTTTAATTATTACGAAGAGAATATTTTGATTTGACTTTCACAATGAGCCAGTACAAAATCAAGCAAAAAATAAAACATCAATAAAATTCAACAAATTTAGCCAGCAACGTAGCCAACAGGCTACACAATTTTCAGTGTAACAATTAACAAGATTGCCAGTACAGTAGTATGCAAGCAATCCTGCATCACCATTTAAATTGAAAACAAGATCAGATAAAACAAATATTTGTATAAACTTTTTATATTATTTTTGTGTCCTGCATTCATTCCTAAAGTTATTGTATATTATGAAACCATTTTATACACAATATTATTATCTTACAATATACTACTAAAATATTGTAAAAAATATTTCATAATACATCAACGAGCTTTTTATTACAGATAGGACATGTCGGTGAATTACCTCAGATTCTGATAGAGGATTTCGAAACAAATGAAGATTTTCTGAAAAAGGCTCATCATATTCTGTTGGAAATCGAAGTTATAAACGGAGATTTATTGTGTCCTGAATCCGGCAGAAAATTTCCCATCAACGATGGCATTCCAAACATGCTTTTAAACGAAGATGAAATTTAAATAACAGACCCAAATAATTTAAGAATATTATTATTGCCATTGTGTATCTAGTTATAGTTATATCCTACATCATTGTTCCTTTAATTAGCTAAGATTATACATACACACATACACGCTTCTGTATCATAGATCTTATCGTTAGTTTTATTTTTTTATATTGATACAGTTAATATTTTAATAAAGATGTATAAAAGTAATTTATATTTAATATATTCTCAATGGCTCATTATGCTTACACGCGTGCATACGTGTATACGTAAAAATTTCGATATGCTTCCATCTTAAATTTAAAAATGTATTAATTAGAAATGAAGCATATAAAGTATAACATTTTTGATACTAAAAAAATTATAATTTATTTTATTGTCATAAGTATGAATTTTTAAAACTTTATTTCTTATTCTATGCACGTATATATTATTAATAATAAAGCTTAATAGATATTATTTATTTAAAAAAAGTACAAAATAAATTACACGCAAAAAATTATCTAAAAATCTAAAATAATGCTAAATTAACAAAAAAAAGTAAGAATTTATTCATAAAGTAAACGAAAGACTATGTTCACACAATGTATGTTGTGCTTGTAATGCTTCATGTATTCTAAACAAATTCCGAACAAAAAAGAAAACGTACAGAATTGGTTTTTTTAACAATTTGTTACATCAGAAGAAGATAATTTGTCTTATTTTTTAATCGGCCTAATATACCTACATAATTTATAAATTGATAATTCTTATTGTATAGGTTGTTCTAAAAATTGATGGCCAAATTTTGATATCGTATTCTACTGACACTAAGGATGACAAAAGGTCATATAAACCTAGGTCTAGAAATTCTTCCTTTTTGATACAATCACTTTTTGTTTATCTTGAAAGTTTACTTAAAACAGATATTACAAAGTAAATATTGTAGTAAAGCAATGAGCGATACTGTCATCGAAGATAACTTATCGTAGTAAATTATTTTCCAACTAAACGTTGCATAGTTAATATAGTGTTACCAAGATAATTTATTTCAATATCGAATAGGCAAATATTCATTTCATGTATGGACAAACTAACGGAAACTACAGAGAAGATCAGTGTCTGTATCGTAAAACACAAGGAAACAATTTTTAGTAATTTTTTTCTTAAGTAAGTTACAAACCTTTAAAATATTCTCTCGTAAAGAAAAAGTATATCTAAAAAAACGAACTCCGAACTTAAGTTTATATGACCTTTTTTCATCCTTAGGGATGGTAAAATACGATACTAAAGTTTTGCCACTTATTTCTGGAACAGCTGTATATGTAAATTATTTAAATTAGATTGTCGCATGTATAATTCGATTACAGATATTTTATTGCACAGATGTCTAAAGACAATGAAATATAGTTTCTTGTATCATTTGCAATACTTAATATACAATATTTTTTATTTACATTACATTTATATTGCTACTTAGATAGTTTGCTTGAGTATTATCTACACAAGTATTATCTATTCGCTTCTTATCAGAGAGCAAGTTAGCAACATAATATATATTTCAATACAATTGTTTTATTATAGCTATGGAGCATAGCAAACTCTTATAGCAATATTATAACGAAATACATTAAATTATAAGTAAAATAGAGTATATTCTATATAGTGTATATTATCCTTGAATTAAGATAACATGAATGATATACGAAAAATATCTTTTGACAAAAAATTTATACATATATGTATATGTGTAATTACCTTAGATTTATAAATGTAAATTATTAGATAAAGTTATTTGTATATCTATTATGTGCAAAGAATATAATAATTTATTGACAGATAAACTTTTAGAGATTAATTTCTTAAAATTGATATATGTAGTAACACAAAATGAATAACATTTTTTTTGCACAAAATGCTTTGTTCTAATGTTATAAATTGTAAAATTTGTAATTTATACACAAAGTATAAAATAAATGTTACAATTGTTTATAATCTGCTTACAATGTGTTTATAAAATATGTAAAATTATTAATTTGAATATTACATTACATAATTAAAAATACTATATGTTCTTCAGAATAGGATAATGTATATTTCAGTATTCTAATTAGACATCATTTAAATTATATAATGCAATTAAATAATACTTTTTCCATAAAATATGTATAAATAAATATAATGTAACAAAACTTTTAATTGAAATAGCCTTAATTTAATGGCTAATGTTATCGAAAGGCGTATAATATTATCTACTGTAGTTTTCTGTACATATTAGTTTTCTGTATTAATGGCAATGCTCAAAATATAGCAAAATATATTATTTTATTTTTTATAATTTTTTAAAGTCAAAAAGCTGTAAAAATAGCTTTCAACTAACATTTCAGCCACAGCCCATCCGTTATTAACACTTTAATTGTATCTTAAATATTTATAAAGCTGGATTACTCTGGAGTCAAACTATGAAAATATTTCTATATATTAATATATTCTCATGACGGTATATAAATATTAATTGTGTATAGTTTATTATTAAAACCTTATTCTGCACATTAATAGATTTCTCTACATTAGAGATATGCTAGTTTTCCATCTTTATATCCGTTTTGTTTCATCCTGTTTTATAATAGAAAGTTATAAAATATAATATATATATATATATGTGGTGTGTGTGTGTCCATCTAATGGAATTTTCCTATAAAATGTCTATATGCATCATTAAAATATATATTTATAGTTTTAGATTTCATATAGTCAGTTAAAATTTTCATTTTAAATATAATTACTGCACTTAAAAAGGAAGTCCATTTTGTTATTAAAGAATTTATCGATATTAAAAAAAATATAATATTTTAAAATTATTATATATTTATAAATATTTTTATTTTTTCACTGAGGATTTAATGTTTTATTACAGTAATTTTAGTTTACAATAAATCTTATATTTTTGCAAATTAATTTATAAAAATAATATTAAACAAAAGCTATAAATAATAATTAATAATTTTATATTTTAATACTGATAAATTCCTTAGTATACATAATTACTTTATGGATGGGATATTACATTTATTTAAACAAATATTAATATTGAACAATATTATGTTAAGTACTATGTTAAATTAATATATATATATATTAAATTTTTGCTATCCTTATATATATACATATAAGGATAGCAATAATCACAATATATAATTTTATTCTGTTTCTGACAAAAAAGTGACAAACATTAATTATATATAATGATAATTCGAAATACCATTAAAAATTGCTAAATTTTGAACCCTACTAATTACCATACACATAATGAATAAAATTAAAAAATCACTTTAATAAATTCATTTAAATTTGTAAAATAAAAGTTTAAAAAAGACTTGATTATGTACTACTTATTTAAAAATATACGAATATGTGTGTAAATATAGATCAATTTAAAATATTCGCTATTAAGTATATCTATTATATAATTTTGCATGTAAATGTAAGTAGAATTAAGTTATTAAATTTTATTGACAATACTTAAATAAATTCAAAGTAAATTTTAACATACCATATTTTACGTATATAATATTAAATTTAATAAGATATAAAAGATAAAAGTACATAATATTTCTATCTAATATATTTTATATTATTATATATCAATAGAATTTTATGAAATGTACACCAAGTAATTTTGAAAAATCCAATATAATTTGTCACTAAAAAATATTACATTGTAAATCATCCTTACATTCCAAAAATTTAACATTTTATATGCCGTCCTAAAACCACCGGATTTTTTTTAAGAACGGATTCTTTGGAATATTTTAAGACAAAAATTATAATATGGAAACATCGAGGCTATAATCAAGTTTTTAAATTAATAGCTATTAAAAAAATTCCAATTACGGAGTTGATATTTCGCGTGCTTAGATATAATAATACAAATAATAAAAATGTTTCTCAAGAGTTTTTCTCAACAATTTCAAGATTATACAAATACGCAATGTTGTTATTATTATTAAGAAATTGTTCTTAGTTTTATATGAAATTTATTTATACATTACGTACTTATAATTAATCGAAATATACAACAAAATATAATAACGGAATATTACCATGTGTCAAAAATGAATTTATTTTGACATAACCATGATGGAATCAGATTCCATCATGGACATAACTATATTCATAACTATATTTGTAGCTATTTTCGTTTGCTTTGTATGGTAAACATTTTTGTAATATGAGTGAATGAACTATATTTTTTATTTAAAAAATTAAATATGTTGATAAAACAAGTTTGAAACATGTTAAATACCTATTTAACCCTAATATACAATTACCGATCTATATTTCTTAATAATTATTATAGTAAAACGACGAAAAAAGTTAACATATAAACATTCATTACATCAAAATACGTGTATGTCATTAAAATACACAAATTAAATCGATACACATATTTCTTATTTATAATTAAAATATGTGTAAGTTTATAAGCAATGATTATTTAAATACTTCATATTCTTTCTAAATTTTAATTTATAATGTTTATAATATGTTATATACACACGGAATATATACACAAGAAACTAAATTAAAGTCGGAAAGTGCCCTATACGGTCGATGCTGGATCTTGATACCTAAAATAACAATTTTCTTAATAATATTGATTAATAATAATCATTATATGTAAATTTTTTAATATATTTTATAATATTACAAACTGCCGATTACTGTCGGACTTGAAACGCAATCTCAACGGCACTGAAATAAATAGTATAACATAATATTAATTTAAAAAGCATTATATTTAGTTTAAAGTATTAATATCGTTTCAACCAAAAAATAAGATTTATATACTCAGGAAAAATTTATATTATTTATAATATTAATAAAAAAACAATACAAAATGAATCGTAAATGCTTGAATTGTAAATTACTTATCTCTATGAATGGTTCACAATTTAAACTTTAAGATTAAATAAACATTTTGTATATGTCAGCCTTATTTTATCAATATATTTAGTTCTTTTCGTTACCTACCAATAACATTACAAAAATATTTATCGTACAAAGCAAACAGACATGATTGTAAATATATTTTGGCACATATATCTTGCTTTTAAATTTATATTTTATAGTATCTTCTAATACTAATTATACGTCCATAATATATAAATAGATTCCGTAGAATATTAAGA